TTATGAATAAACTTTCTTCTCTTTTCATTGAACATCATATCCCTTTAATCCCTATCTTCAATGAAAAAGAATTATCTGTCCTTCCAGAAGAAGAAGACTATGGTCAATATAGAACTGTACCATCTACTCCAAAGAATTGTAAGTTAAAGAAAACTAAAGAAATAGATGAAGCCCAAAGTGTTGAAAGCCAAAATGCTCCAAGTTATTTAGATGATTTATTTAAAACAATGAAAGAACAACTTCCATCTTTTCATCCATTACCAAAAATATCTTCTTTTGTTTCAAAATTAAAGTCAAATGATTTTAATTTACCATTTGGGTTGTAATGCAATATAATAAAATACTTTTTATTATAGTTATAATTCTTTTATATTATTAAATATTAATATTAAAAAAAAAAAAGAAGAAGAACAAAAAAAAAATTATTATTAAAAGTTAATGTTTTGTTTTGTTTTTATATCGTTGATTTATTTTGTATTAGCAGGATATGAATCTTCTATAAATAATCAACATTCACCTTGTGTATTTGGTTTTCATTTTACTACTACCACAAATAACTTAAAACTAACTCAATGTTTTACGTTTCCTGGTAATAGTTCAATAGTTGAAGGAATTGTTTTATCATTAGAAGTATATGTTCATAAATCTTTTATTATTTCTAAACAAACAAATAGATGTGGTGAATGTATGGAATTAACTTCTACTGGAGGAACAAAACATAGAGTAATGATTGCTGGTTATCATGAAGAAGAAGATGAAAAAATGATTTATGGAAGTTCAACAATTCTTGAGTCATTGTCAATAACTAATACAGAAATATCAGTCATTCCTATTGCCTTTCAATTTATTTCATGTCCCATTAATAAAAATCCTTCTATTATTATTGTTAATGTTAATGAATTAACTGTTGATATTCAACCAATTAATACAATTCTTCCTCATTATTTATTACTGCTTGGAAATAAAGAATATAAAGTAAATACTTTAACAGGGATATATACTATTCCATTTTTTAATGAATCATCAATTAAATTAGTTTCTTTACAACGTATTACTGTAATATTTTCTAAAGTTCAACCAATTCTAAATACTCAATACACTGCATTTACTCAATTTCCTCGATATAATTTAACTCAAATTTGTCAATTTATTCCTGAAAGTATTGTTTTT